ACACTCCGAGCTCTTTGCATCGCGGCACAGTCATCTGTGTTGTGAGAGTCAGACTGATGGTACTCACACCACATATAAGCTTTATGGTCTGTCACAGACGTAGTCTTTGCAGCCGCTGCATATGTTTTGGGTGGTCCATGTCTTTGACGTGAGCCTGTGGTTGGATGTTTCTTTTCTTTATTCTTGACACCACCACTCTGGAGCTGGTAGCAATCACCAGCAATGGTGACACTCTTCATTGGAGTTTCTGCGCGAATTACATTTGTCAAACAATCAAGCCACCTAAACAACCAATATAAATGTCCTTGCTGTGTACCAAACTCAAAAATACCAATTAAAGCCTTTTTTAAATATTCATACCTCGGGTCAGCAAGACACTGACGTACAAATGTTCACTTGCAAAACTACCCTGTGGGATATGAGAGCGAACAAATGATTTCTTCGTATCATCTCCTCTTATCTGAAAATTGTTCATGGTATCCTCACAAGCTCTTATAAATGTAGTTACCCGATATCCATCTTCCCCTGTAAAATCGCGGACCAGATCGCCACGCGGTAACACCTGAATAACGTTAGAGGGGTTAGTAGACATGCCGGTGTTAGAAGTAGCCATGCTATTTATCTTACTCCTAACTGAGGGGTTTTTTAATGGAGGAGGTAATAAAAAGTTTTCTGACACACACTGTGTTTCTGTGGAGGAGAAAGGAGAACCTGCCCGTAATCAGGCGACGTCATATACTTATTACCTGACCTTAGGGTTCGACGGTTTAAATCGTCAAATGATTGTTCTATCAAATCTTCACTACTCCTAACAGAAGTGTCTAGCTTTGATTGCGCCTGTGTTTCGTGCGAATCTATTGAATCTATTTGTTCAGTCGTGACATTAACCTCATCAGCAATATCTGAATCGCTAGTATAATGTTCCACCAATTTAGTAATGTCCCAAGACGATGACTTAGAAAGACGGTCCATTAATATTAAAATAGATCACATCAAAGGTTATCTCATAAAAAAAATAATCTTGCCTTTCATTTACAGTAAATAACGTTACTAGTAAAATGAAGAAATTATCAATAAATGAATGAGAGAAAATTAATACTGGACTTTAATTTATTCAGTATCCATATATAATCATATAAAAAGTAAGCAAGACACTTATAAAATTAATATAACCTACACGAAGTCTATCTTTGTGGAGGCATGCCGTAGAATATATTACTGTGGGTATATATATATATATATATATATATATATATATATATATATATATATATATATATATATATATATATATATATATATATATATATATATATATATATATATATATATATATATATATATATATATATATATATATATATATATATATATATATATATATATATGTATACCTAAAAACCTAGGAATGTCGTCTGGAGTCGACGTAGAACACTGGAGCCGTCAGAAGCAGTCTTCCCTCCCACAATCACAGCTGACTCAAGGTCGCGGTGAGTGGGTCGGCGAGTAGGTCAATGTCCTCCGTGTTGATAGTAGATCAGGTGATGTCTCCGTTGTGTAGCAACTGACTGATGCTTCAAGATGGCGACGGGTGAGTCCACTTCAACGACGGGGAGTCCACTACCCACCAAAATGCTGACCAAGGGCTGTGGGGTCACTGAATTCGCTGGGAAAGTCCACCATGGGTGAGGGTCAGGGGTTCTTCTGTGTGCCAAACCTCTTGTAGCCCTGTATTTATCGGGCTCGCTGGGGACACACAACTGCCCTCATGAACAGCCAAAACATTCTGTTTGAACAACTTGTGATGTCGAAATGGTGTAAGGTCCACGTGTTGCAAAACCTCGAAGCACGTAGGTATGTGGCAACACTGTAAGACCCAATGGGCTGTCACTGGGGGGTATCCACTCACAGGATGTTGAATGTTGACGCCACAAATTCTTCTCCGCCACGCCTGGTTGCCATACAGGGGAGTTACCGACTTGCCACAATAGGTAAAAGTTATCAAAAACTCAAAAATGGTTATTGAGAAAAAGAAACTTGTACATCTCTTTGGATGAAAACGTTTAATATCACACGACTGGATATTATAATACACTTTGGAAGAATATAACACGTCATTGTTTTTTGTTTTTCTGGTTTTCGTAAAACACTCATGACTTGTTATGTAGTATATATATATATATATATATGTATATATATATATATATATATATATATATATATATATATATATATATATATATATATATATATATATATATATATATATATATATATATATATATATATATATATATATATATACCGGAATGTTGTCATCCGTTACTACTTTGCTGCCACCTATGAACTGGCCCTTTAACCGTTGATTCTTGATGAGTTAATGAGGCTGGGACATGTAAAGGTATACAGGGTTTTAGTAGCGAAACCCAACTGTCCTTTCTGTATTTATTAAGAAGATATATTATATACAGTTCCAAGTGTATATCACCGTAACTTAATCACTGAAGCTATGAGTTTTAAATGAGGAAAGAGGATATATTAAATAACTCTTATAAAATACATCCTGCTTGTGTGAGAGAGTGAGGAAGAATGCTCAAGTAGCCGGCCTCTATATGCTAACCTAACATTCTTGAGGCCGCTCCTTCAAGGAACTTACCCATCGCATGATGTGACCATGCCAACTCATAGCCAGTGGAAGTTACAGGGGGTGATATGATTATATAAACCCAATGAACTGCCCCTCATTGCTATGGGGTATATTGAAAATCATGATGTACATTTAATTACATATATTAGCAAACAAAAAATAAAATATATCAGTTATGCACAGAATTAACAAATAAAAACTAAACCTGATCAAACATATAGATCACTATATAATACTTGGTGTTCTTAAAAGTCGAGCAAGGTTTACACGTTATGGCACTAGAAATATACAAGAGGAGAGGAGATACTTATCTTATGACTGCCAGCCCAATACTAAAAGCCACCTGGCTTTAAGAGGCAAAACCAAGAGAGCAAAGGCGGGAGGAAATGACGTCACAGACAAAAGACGTTCACGTTTTGAATCCGCAAACAACCATTGAGCGCTCACTCGTTCATTAGTATTCGGGATAATATAATAAACATTACTTTGTTTTACCTAACACATCGAAACCAATGTTACATTTCAAGTATAACATATAATATCTAAATTTTAACTGCTTCGGTGTCTACACAACGACTCATTTGAAGTTCATATGCTGACCAGTAATTTATTCATTGGTTCTTATTTCCGACACTCGTAACAGAAACGTCGGCCATTTTAGAAAATGGCGCCGTATATAACTCGCACGCATTTTTTACAATAGCAACACTTGGTTTCATGATCTCCACACCCAAATGCTAGTTTTTGCTATGCAGACAAACGTTACCCTGTTGACCCCCGCATGCATGTCAGTCAGGTCGACAGAAACTCGCTCGAGAGGCTTGGAAACTACCGGTAAGGCCTGCCATTTCTGGGTAAGACCCTTAGTTCCCTTGAATTTCTGACAGCTTTCACATGACTTCACAAAATCTATACAATCCTTACAGCAGTTTGGCCAATAGAATAGACTTTCTGCCCTGGCAATGGTTTTCCACTGCCCTAAGTGACCTGACTTGGCACTATTGTGTACTAACTTTAAGGCGGCTTCACGTAAATGATCAGGTACTACTAAGCAATAGAGCAAGGCTTTGTCAATTAGTTCTTTCACTAGATATAAAACTCCATCTATCACTTCAAACTTATCAATGGTGGTTTTGGGGTATCTGTGCCCTGGTAACTTTTCCCCATTCAAATACTGCAAGAGCTCTTTCCACCGTGGTTCTTTCTGTTGTTCTAGTCCCAGCTCTGCAGGGGTTAAGCCCTCTAGTGTGGGATATTGAGCAACTAAGTCTTTCAGCCGCCCTTCTCTTACTACTCTCACGGGTCTACTTAATGCATCAGCTACAACATTTGCTTTACCGGGTTTATAATCAATGGTAAAGGAATATTCCCTCATTTCTAACATCCACCTGTTCATTCTCTGATTCTTAGTCTTCTTCCTGAAGACTGAGGTCAGAGGAGGTGAATATCTTGAAAAGGTACAAGACTGATTTACAGAAACTACTTTATGATGTTTGTCTTGGCATCGGAAACATTGACAGGAACATGGAAGGCCTTCTTTATTAAACATTCCAAAATCAAGAGAAAATAGAGATCTTGACTCCTGATATTCTTAGAAAATAAAAGATACACCAGTTATATTAAATAAAGGAAATCTTGTGAAGTGCATTATTTCATTGATTGTGCGAATTACCCACTGTATTGCGAGGGTACCGTACTCTGAGGCAGAACAAAATGAAAATCCCGATTGTTTACACCAAACCAAAGTGGATGAATAGTTTGTATTAAGTTATACTTTAGTCCATAGTACATATTTAAACCATTTTTTACGTCATGATTTAGAACTACAGTTCCGGTCATTTGAAATAGAGATGCCACTGTAGCCTTTGAACACAAGCGCCGAGTCGCTCTGGCCGACGAGTTACAGTGGTGGAAAGGGCGTGGTCCCAATAGTAGGGTGGTATAAAGGCGGGTAGGGGTAGCCAACAGGGGTGGGGTTTAAGGAAAGAGATAAAAGGTGTTGAGTAGGTGTCATATCTGCTTTATCTTAAGTCAGACATCTCGCACCTAATTCTCCTATGTACAGTCACCCAAAAAAGTCCTGTCGCGAACCACGAACCCCGAGATTCAGACTCGTGAACCCGAAGCAGTAGACACTGATACATTATTCTGTCCATAAATGCTTCGGATTCAAGAGTCTGAATCTCGGGGTTCATGGTTCGCGACAGGACTTTTTTGGGTGACTGTACTTCTTCTCTCCCATTCCTCCGTGTATCTCGGAAAAAAAAATTATCAAAGTCTTCTAAAAATTTCCATAACACTTTATGACGGATATACTAACATTTATTCCCTTTTAGGAAAATAAAAATGAAGAGATGATCACATTTTATTTACTTCAGATTATGGATGATGTAATATTAACAAGACCATAACTTTATACATTGTATTACTCTCACCACATCAAGTTTCTTTCCTCCAGCATTAACCCAAGCGTTGACCTCGTCCTCCACCAGGTCCAGAGGTCCGACAGAGTCCAGTACAACATCATGGAACTTCTTAATGTCAAACTCGTCGCCTAATACACTGGCGGCCTTGTACCTCAAGTCCATTAGCTTGAGTTGCCCCACCTTGTAAGCCAGCGCCTGGCCCGGCATAGTAATGTACCGGTCCACCTCATTCTGCAACGACTCACACAATTACGAATTAATTAATGTGCGTAAGGCAAGAAAAAGTATAAGAATTCGTGTGCCATAGATTAGCAATACCATATTTAAGATCCTGAAATCACATGGACCGAACTTCAGCTCAACTTCCATCACTTGAGTTTTACCGCTATGCTTCTGAGACCATGTTGGTATATTTATATCCCTATTAAGATGAAGGAATAAATAATAATTTTCTCTCAATAACTCCCTTACATTCTCCCCAGTGACCAAATAAGACTTGTCACACTCACCTACCACACGTCAAGTAAGGAATCCGTGATGTAAACACAAATATGACCCACCTCCACTTTTACAGTAGTCATGGCTGTGTGGTTAATCAGGTAGTCGACGGCCTCCTGACGGGTCCAGCCGAGGGCGTGTAGACCTGTGTCAACTACCAGGCGAGAAGCGCGGAAGATCTCCAAAGAATAGTGACCATACCTGTTCCCCCAGGGACAATACGTTGTATATATATATATATATATATATATATATATATATATATATATATATATATATATATATATATATATATATATATATATATATATATATATATATATATGTAACCGGTCGGAATTACTGGACTTGGGGTTTATTGTCCCTCAGATTGGTAGCCAGAAACTTAGCATGAATGTGATAATATGGTTCATAAGAGAATGCTTTATTACCCTTCGTGATAATGGCCTTATCATAGTCTACATAGTTGATCCCTACAATGGATATCATGGTGGGATTATAGGTGACAAATGAGAGACATGATTAATATAAAAGTGTGTCACAACTAGAAGTAGGTCACACCGCTGAATAGGGTTGGCTGGAAAAATAAGGTAAAAGCAGCAGGAACATATTTTATCATTAGTTAAACTCTTATAGGTAACCATAAATGTTGCCCAGTTAATGTTATATGCATTCAAAATTTTTTTTTAACATTTACAGATAAAAATGACAAGACAATAATTCAAACGATCTATTTTTTAGATTAAAAAAAAATATGCATAACACGTAACTTGTCCGGCATGGGTGTCACCAGGTCTCCACCACCTCCGGTCTACCCCTGTAGTTTTCTCTCTCTGTCTGTTAATGTGTACCATTATGTCAAATAATGTAAAACTTGATTGGATAAATTTTTTCGTTAATGTATTAAACAAAACAATGATATCCTTTCCCGGTCCTTATTGGGAAATGGAAGTATCAGAGCTCGATTGTTGAACTGCTTGGGTGCTTGTTTGTGTGTAGGGGCTATGTATGACCAGTGGAGCCACTGCTTGAAATATGTTGCTATACAGTATATTGAAAATTTCACCCTAACCTTGAAAACTTGAGGAAAAAAATTGAAAACCTCTCATACATTGAAAAATCCTGTTATTTTTTATATTTTTATATATCTTTTTATATTAAAGAATCATAGTTAACTTAGTTATAACAACGTTCTATTGGCACTTAGTTTGGTAAATAAGTTGGCACCCCTAGACCCATGATTCGCCGATTTCGCATCTCTAAACAACGTGAATCCTACATTTTTTCATTTAGCAAGAAATGTTAAATATATTTTTTTATAGTGCTGCAGTGTAGAAACAACAATTAAAATTAATTAATTAGTAGGCTACACTAAACTATTCCTACAGTACAATAGGTCTACTTGTTTAGCTACTAAGTAAAATCTCTTCTTTGATTTACTCAGATAAAACTTTACTTAGTCTCGTCTCAAACCGTCCAACGAATAGATTTCGATTTCCTTAGCAATGCAGAATGCCGAGTGTCTATTTTTATTTGGTTGTCTATTATTTTCTTGTATATTTTATATTTTTTGTACAGTCACGAGTCATAATAACAAGAACACCCTGCTCGAACGGAAGGTGAGACTAGGTGGCCTTTCTGGACGACAGCTCACCATGCTGACAACAATGCGACACACAAACGAACACACGCCAGACGATAGTTTGACCAATGGTTGTTTCCCGCTCGTCACCACGGACAGAGCTTGGGAAACCATTGATAAATAATAATATAGATACATCGCCAATTCTGTATTACCATTAATGTTAATGCAACAAGAAATAACTTCATGTTAAAGCAAAGTTGCACTAACTGAAAAATCAACTCCATATATCAAAAAGGTATTGTTGACAAGTAATTTGGCATTTAAAGCTGGTGGTTGGAGTAATACCAATAGTATATTACTTTACTGTGGTGTTTGTGGCACCGTGAGTGTCCAGTTAGTGCCTCTATTTGTTATATCATATGAAGGTGTCCTGAGCTCTGGATTGCGACATGTAATACGACCTAAATATCTACAAGGATAACATACAGTATACTGTACTTGTCCATATAATACCTAATAGAAACATATTTCACCTCACGATGTGTAAATGAAGGTCCCTTATTATTTGACTGCTGACCATAGTGTGTTATATGCCATAATTATGTCACATTTTATTATCTTATTGGCATGATAACATAATGGATGTCATCACTGGGGAGGAGGGGACGGGTTTGTAGGGGTGCTGCAGGGCGGGAGATGGGTATGGCCAAGGGCGGATGGGATCGAGCAGGGAAGTTGGGGAGACCTCGGACAGGGATTGTGCGTGGGGTAGGAGACAAGGCATGGTTGGAGGATATATATTGCCATGAAATGTGTCTTGTTTAAGCCACCCTGTATATACCAAAAAGGTTCTTTTTACGAAACATGATAACAGGATAGTAGGTAGTAGGCAGCTATCAAACAGGGTGATACTACCGCCTGGGAAGATATTGGAAGCATAATGTGTTGTCTAATAGTAGACCCTGCTGCCATATGGCATCACGAAACTTTTGCCGATCTGACTTTCTGCTTCATTTACACACAATTACAGGGTCTCAATTCTTTCTCTTACTTTGACAACACAGCATACATACTGTATATCGTTTCTCACTATTGATCTTTTTTTTTAATTTTTGTATTTCTTTACGGTTCTTTTTTGTTATAATTATTTTTATTATTATTATTATTATTATTATTATTATTATTAATATTATTAATATTATTAATATTATTATTATTATTATTATTATTAATATTATTAATATTATTATTATTATTATTATTATTATTATTATTATTATTATTATTATTATTATTATTATTATTATTATTATTATTATTATTATTATTATTGTTGTTGTTGTTGTTGTTGTTGTTGTTTAATTCATAATTTTGTAGTTTTTATTTTAAATTTTATTTATTATGAACTAATTATCATTATTATTATTATTGTTATTATTATTACATTTTCGCCCCCAGGCCCCGTGTGGGTCAGTTACCTGTGTCCGGGTGGGCTAATCCCCCCTCCCCCCCCAAAAAAAAGATCAAAGTAAGGGTTGACCTGGTATCAAGCCACAGTGTTACAATAGGATGCAAACTGAACACATGATAACCTTGGCATTAAACCTTATTACTTGTATTAAAAGGCTATATTTATGTTCTTGAATGAGAACATATTACCCTTTCAAATTACACTCTGCAAACCAATACAATCGCTTATTTTACGTTCAGGTGTCATGTGTTAATACTAGCAATATTATGTAAAGTAGGCCGTGTCTAACTCACAAAGACTCACATGTTCATTTACTCAGCACCGATCGCTAACGTGACACCATCCCTTCGTTATTCCACCGAATGTATTTATCACAGTATGGTAGACAAATATATTGCTACTGTAGAAAATATGCCAATCGTAATGCAAACAACAATCCGTGACGCCACCTCCATGAACATGAAAAAATACTAACGTGAATGTATTGAGGCCGGTTTCGAGCAAGCTTCATGACAGTGACCGAAACATCAATCTTCGAACACAAGTCATTCTTATAGCTCCATGAGGCGACACCGCACTAGTTGGCACTGATCGCCTGACTTGGTAATTGCAATACCCGTTCCGTTTGTTCAGTCTAGCATCTAGATTCTAGACCAGTGGTTCTTAACCTGGGGGGGCGTCAGTAATTTCCAGGGGGGGTGCAAGCCCTAGGGAAAAAGTAGGAATTTCTCTAATTATAATTATAGTTTTTATTCTCTTAACAAGAGCGTGGGCTAATATTGAGAAGTTTATGAAAAAATGCAAAAGTATCGCCTTATAACTTTAGTTTTCTATAGGCTACTTTTTTGACTTAGGGCTTACCATTTTCTGTGCTTATTGACCCCCCTCCCTATCCCTTGAAACCCATGGGGGGGGGGGTTAACTCGTCCTGGACCTGTATACTGCTCGTTGGTGACTGGTGAGCCCCGTTCTCTCCCAGTCTTCTGCACACGTCCGTGGCAATAATTCCTCTTCTCTCACATTTATTCAGTTAAGGCTGTTGAGGTATGTTTTATCCCAGTTGCTATATTTACCTAAAAATAGTAAGCAGCCATAAGTTTATTGGTGAATTGTGAACACGCATGTGTTGCTCTGTTGGTTATTCTCAAGTTTTGAATTCCGTTTGCATTTTATCAGAAGTTGGTGGTGCTTAAAATCATGTGGTGGTAACAGGTGGTTATGGTAAAGTTGTATTTATGATGATATTGATTTGTTTCTTAATAATCATGTGTTTATGATCATGGTGTGTTTACTATAATGTTGTGGTGTTTGTTAATATTTACTTAATAATTATGTGGTGGTGTTTATGATCATCTAGTGGTGCTTATGATCATGTTGTAATCATTGATGTTTGTTAATAATCATGTGGTGTTTATGATCATGTGATGTTTGTTAATGATATGGTGGTGTTTATGATCATGTATGATTGTAGTCACTTGTAGTGTTTACGAACTTTACGATTATATGTTTGTTTTTGATCATGTGGTTGTGATTATCATGATGTTGTGGTGTTCATGAGCACGTGGTGATGTTTGTCTTACCTTACACGTGCCTTATGTTTTGTTCACAGATTTGTGTTGTCCACTGCACATCAAATAATTCGCAATGAGTGCAAAGAAGCGGAAGTATCTTGACGAATATATTCGATTTAGATTCGTGTCTCTCCAAAAGGGTGACACAGAGGTCCCTCAGTGTGTGATATGTTACAAGACTCTGAGCAATGATGGAATGCGGCCCTCATGCTTGGAACGCCACTTGAGAACAACACATCCTGCTCTAGCTGACAAGCCCAAGGCATTCTTTGAAACAAAAAGACACTCCTTGAAGCAAGTTAAGTTGGACGGCAGTGGGGCATTTCGGCAACAAACTTCAAAGGTTGTTGAGGCTTCCTATGAGATCGCCATGTTGATTGCAAAGAGCAAGAAGAGCCATAACATCGGAGAGTTTCTCATAAGACCAAGCATACTCCGTGCAGCAGAACTCGTTCTGGGGAAAGATAGTGCAAACAAGCTTTCCCAAATTTCACTATCAAACGATACAGTCAAGGGAAGGATCGATGAATTGTCTCAAGACACCAAAGATCAAATTCTCGACCAAGTAAGAGATTCTCCTGTTTTTGCCATCCAGTGCGACGAAACGACTGACATCGCTCAGTGTTCTCAGCTACTGATGTATGCTCGTTTCGTGTCAGGCAACAGTGTAAAAGAGGAAATGCTGTTCTGTCACCCCATGGAAAGTTGTACAACAGCAGCAGCTATTTTTCATGATGTATCAAACTTCTTTCAGGAAAACCAACTTTCGTGGGACTCGCTGGTAGGGGTGTGCACTGATGGAGCTCCAGCCATGCTTGGTCTGCAGTCTGGACTCATTACAATGGTGAAAGAAAAAAATCCG